AATAAGCCTACAAGGTATCATTGAGCCGCGGACTCCAATCTTTCTGGTTACGCCTCACCATCTTCTCCAATATGGATTTTTATCTCCCGGTTGGACACTTTAGCTTGTATGTTTGACCATGGGTTATAGGTGGTAGAGATGCGGGGATAACCTTGTACTTCAAGTGCACCAATTACCTTGCTACAAATGAGTGCCACGATCACTGATAATGGCCTTAGGCATCCCTGACCTAGAAACTGCAACAACACGTGAATCATCAATCGGAGTGGCCTTCACCTAAAGCCATTTTGAGACATAATTGACGACCAATAAAATAGAGGTTTTCACTGGACGTGGGAAACGGTCTTATGAAATCCATGTCCCATAAAGCGAACATTTCATATACTAGCATAAGAAGTTAGGGCATGTGATTCTAGTAACTAATGTTTCTCATCGTTTGGTACCTACTACCTAGTGCAACTCTTACAGAAACGGTAGCTATCTCGCATAAGGGTTGGCCAAAAGAACTCGTACTCGAGGACATTTCTATATGTCCATTTATGGCCAAAGTGACCCTACAAGCATGGGGTGACAAAACTATAAAACAGATTGAAACTACCTTGGGGCGCACATTCCCGGATCATGTGGATAATGTTTCCAAAGGTATGTCTCATCCCACATGTGGAGACGAGCCTCTCTTTCTTTGCTCTCTTAGGTCTAGATAACTCACCTAGGAAGGTCTTCGAGACCAAATAATTGACAATATCGACATACTAGGAGGTTTTTCCCAAGATGGAAAAAAGGTGCTCATCTGGAAACTCATTAGTGAGTGGGGTAGGCTCTCCATCCAACACAAACCGGAAAAGTGGTTGACGACAAGATTTTCAGCCCTGCTCTTATCCCTTATCTTCAAGTCGAATTCTTGGAGTAAGATAGTCCACCTGATCAGTCATCAGCTTTGTGTAACTCTTTTAACAAATATTTCAAAGTTGCATGGCTAGAAAACACGATCACTTTATTATCGAGCAGATAAGATCTAAACTTTTCAATTGCGTAAACTATTGCCAACGACTTTTTATTGGTGGTCGAGTGGTTGCATTGTGCACTATCAAGTGATCGTGATGCATAATAAATGACGTGAGAGTTGGTGTCAGAAAAAATGTTGAGAAGAGGCTAAAATGAGGTCATAAATACATCTATGGCACACAACTTTAAGAAAAACTGACATCATGCCTTGTTCTATGTCTTATAATTTCACCTGACATAGTTAAAGGTGTTTCAAGTTTGTAAATGGAAGTGAGTGGAAAGATCAAACCTCTTCATGTCTTTATTGTTGGAATTTTATCATGGGATTTGATCCCACGTAGATAGGAAAGCTAAATCGAAGTAGCTTTGTATGTGCAAAAGCCCTTAATTTATACATACTTTAGAAGGAAACATGAAATTGAAAAACTATATATATAGGGGCAGGTTCAAACGAGAAGCTAAACATTTTGCAAGAATGCTAGAAGTTTCAATATCGTATATGATTACACTCATGATACACAAACTTAATCATATATGATTAAATGTTGCATTGACCACACTGACACTTAATCATATATGATTGAACACACCCAAAGGAGTGTAATCATATTGAAACTTCTCACCTTCTTGCAAAATGTTTAACTTCTCGCATGATCCTTCCTCCCTCTCTCTCTATATATATGTATATAGAGGTGGGTTATTATGCAACCCTTTACATTTGTACAACCAATACAACTCAATCTCAGCCGTCCATTTAATTTGATGAATATGTGATTTCATAAAAGTTTAGATTGCTTCCTAATATAAAGTATTGATCATAATTAATTAACCTTAGTCATCTTCCATAAATATTCAAATCATAATAAATGAACTCTCATCATTTCCATAAATATCTCAATTGATTGGGTTGCATTTGAAACGTCCTTTATGTATATATATACATATATGTATATATATACATACTAGATGTGTAGCTGCATAATGCAACACGATGCAATCTCGATTCTAAAGTTGAGAACCCGAACTCTCAATCCTGCTTCACCCTTCGTTCTATTCTCCATCCCTCTTGATTTTATTTTTTTGGTTTTGTGAGAGCGAGAGAGTCATCAGTTGGGTATTAGTTTTAACTTTTTTCTTGGAAGGTGTCCCAGGCTATGCCTGGACTAATCTCGGCAAATTGTGACTTCAAGAAATCAGCCTTGATAAAATCAGTGGCCACAATTGTTGTATATGCCTAGAATCGAACCCTGAGCAGATGGGATATTCCACCACATCCCCTAGGACCTAAACCACTACGCAGCAACCCTTGTGGTTATTGGTTTTAACTTTTATGAAGTATAATATGGTATTAGTACGGTTCAACGTTTATCCTGTATTTGCATGTGTTTATTGGTTAGTTTATGAAGTTCAAACATAGAGCTTTAGAAGTTATACATATTTGTTGGCAATTTATTTGTATTAGTTGGGGATAGAGGGCAATTTACACTTGTCGTATTCATTTGTTATATTTCTTACTACAACAATGTTTCAATCTTTTAATATTTTCTTGATCTCCAAAATAGTACATTTTTTTCAATCGAGATATAATAAAAAAGATCGACTTGTCAGGGGATAGAATCTATCAGACTGCAACAGGGGATAAAGAATGAAAAACAGGGACTAAAATTGAAGTATTGATAGCTTTGTCTCTTACACTTGCATTGATTAGAACTCCTACCTATTTATAGTTGAGGCTTTTTACCCAAACACTTACCTGATAAGTGCTTACAGGTAAAATTCAACACTATCACTTACCACGTAAGATTTTAGCCCACCAAAACGGGATCGTATGCAACAATTTACCCGGTTAGCACTAACCATGGTAAGAGTCGTCACCCTCACTTACTAGGTAGACTCTCGGTCCTTGCCTTCGCTCTTACGGGGTAAAATTCTTGGTCTTTGCAATATTCATTCGGTAAGGTAATGTGACTTGGTAAGCGTTTACTCAGGTAAGCATTTGGTAAACGGCCCTTTAGTTAACTAATAGTTAATATAGACGAACTAACAACCACAACTATCTGATTCTAAAGTGCCAGACCACTAACTCTTTGACCAATCCATACTTAACTGAATTTAGCAAGTGATTGATAGTCGTCTTCATACCCATTTTTGATTCAGTGAGTTGTTGGTTTGAACCCTTTTTTGAGGTTTGAGCCCTTGAGGCCTTGACCTCCTAGGAGGCTAGGATCTACGGGTAACCTAAATACTGCTTGCCAAAGGTCCTTTGGTTTATGGGGTTATCTTGGGTGCGATGCTGAGGAGATCCCATTTCTGCTAGGTCTAAAGCTTAGAATCCCTAAAACCAAACCAAACTTACCTAGAAAATCCCACTAAGAAGTAGGGTTTGGGAAGGATAAGATGTATGCAGACCATACCTCCACCCAAGGGTAGAAGGGTTGTTTCATGAAAACCTCCGGCTTGCAAAAGCTTAGAATCCCTAGTACTATTCAATTTTCTTTTCCTAATTAAAGATCTGTTCTGAGCTATCACATCTTGCTGATTATAAATAAGCGATGACCTTATCTTCTGATAAGCCTCCAATTACGAAAGCATATGCGAGTGGAGGGGTCCGAAGATAAATAAAGAGTCAAGTCGAGGGGGTAATTTTGGGAATATAATAAAGAAGGCAATGAGAGAACGGTATATGGCATGTGCGTGGTTTTGGGATGGGATTCATTCAGATTTTGTGTGATCTTTTGATCGTGTAGGAGAGAAATGGGCTCTCGAATTCCCATCTAGTTTTTCTTCGACTTTTCATTGTAATCAGTCCAGTTTTGCCATTAATATGATTGCAATCATTTGGGTCTATCATCTTCTTTGGTTGAATTTACAGTTGTACCCATTGTTTGTTAGACGTAGTGATTGTGGTCTATTAGTATCCTGCAACGTGAGAAGCGTTAGAAATATATCTTTCATGTATGCATTTGTCTTCGGTGTCGTTCGGCCCTTTTGCCCTCTTTGTATCTAATTTATGGCTAAGTCAATATATTATACACAAAAAAAGCACGAAATCCATCAACATCACTACCAAAAGTTATTTGTTTCACGCCTGTGTTCTATGAACACGAGTCTTGGTCACTTGCTATTGGGAGTTACGTATTTGACCACATTACCTCATATTCCGACCTTTTGTTTCATGTTTTCCAACCAAAAAAGAAAGTGAGCTGACCCGTTTGCCCTCGTGAAAAAGATGCTATTCTAGTGCTCACTATGGATAAACTTGTCGGAAAATGTTAGTTTTCTGGGCAAAGTGAGACGAGGGTGCAAAACATCGGACTATGAAGTATGTAGGTTCTACTTTCCAGCCAAATATTCACATTTCCAGATACATAACCCCTGATAATCATCACTCTAACAAGGCTCAATTCATTCTATTTCTAGGCAGGAAAAGATGATGAACAAAAAGGGATTATTTACGAGAATAACCTTGTGAACGCTTTTTTAAAACGCATGATCTTCTTATAGATTTAAGTACGTTTCTGCCTAAGAAAAGAAGCCTCAAAATCTGTCAAATGGTCATGCATCTAAAAAAATCTAACGGATTTTTTAAAATGCACGATCTTCTGATAAATTTAAGAGCGCCTTGCCTAACACAAAAACGTCTCTTCCTAACCCAAGAATGCTTGAAAATCTGTTAGATGGTCATGCATTTAAAAAAAATATGTCAGAAGGTTGTTCTCCTAAATAATCAGACAAAAAGTGGTTCGACCCTGAGGTCTTTTTATAATATAACGGATCAAATTTATGTTATTCCATGATACAAATCCAAGCAAATATGTTTCCCATCAATATACATGGTCATGGTCATGGTCATGGTCATGGTCGCTTTTGTTATAACGAACCGTCTGATTAAGAAATAGGAAGATCAAATATTGTTCATCGAGACTTTGTGATAATCACTTTCGAAATGTCTGCATTAATACCATTATCTGAATTATGGTTTCTTACTTGTTCAGGGAATCATCTATAGCCTACTTGATAGAAAGGATGAAGCTGAAGAACAGTTTTCAACATACCAAAGCCTCCTACCAGATGAATTTCCTGAAAGAGGATTCTTAGACGATGTCGTTTTGGCAGCAAAAACGGAAATAAGACAGAAGCGCAAGAATGAGTTGAAACCCGAGTTTTTCAACAAGAAATAGACATCCATTGAATTCACGATGATATCGTCTAGATGTGCTCAAGGAGGTCGTCACGTATTATTCATTGTGAGTTGTCTTTTTCTAGCGGATGCAAACCATACAAACACAGTAAATCTAATACTCCCTCCGTCCCAAAATAAATGTCCACAATGAAAAAGCGATGCAGTTTTAGAAATGTGTGATTATTACATTTTTTTAATTAACTAAATGACAGTTGTACCCTTATAAATAGAGGGAGTAATAAATTTCTCCGTCTCATAATTAAGGGTAGAATTGGAATGTAGGCAATTACTTTTAAAAGTGGACACTTATTTGGAGAAACTAAATAGAAATGAACTCTTGATCTCTAGTTTATTGTGAGAAAGTCTAAGGGGCCGTTTACTAAATGCTTACCCGGTAAGTACTAACTGGGTAATTTTTCTTACCTAATGAACATGACAAGGGTCAAAAATCTTACCCGGTAAGAGCAATGATAAAGATTAAGAGTCTTACTCGGTAAGTGAGGTGACGACTCTTACCGGGTAAATTGTTGCATACAATACCATTTTGATATACTACAATCTCACGCGGTAAAATAAATTACGGTGTTGACTCCTAACGGTAAGCGCTTACCGGATAAGCATTTAGGTAAACGGCCCCTAAATCACTTGAGCAAACCTAGTTAGATGCAAACAATCGTATTTTGTTGTTTAAGAAAGGTCTACATGCATCCTATCCCTCTTAGAATATACTTCTTAATGGGATATATTGGGTATGTTTTGTTCGGTTGGTTTGGTTTCTAAATATCTTGGCCTTTTACTCTTTCAATTATTTCTTCTTTTAAGTATATGATATAATATTTATATACTGTAAAACGCACAACACTTGGTGTTATTGGTGAGACTTAAACCCTAATCTCCAATCTCCTCGAAGATGGGTTACCGGATACTATTGGGTCAATGGCTCTCTGATCATTTTTCAATTTTCTCTGTTACTTGCTTCAACTTGTGTTCTTTCGGCTACAGTTTCAGCGAGCTTTTGGAGTAGGTAATGAGGTTTAGCTGGAACGTTAGTTCGGTTTGCAAAATGCAAAGGATGTGTTATGCTCGTGACTCGCAAAGAAAAACGAGCCTTGGTGCATAGTGGTATGTTTCTAGTGTTGGGGTTATGTCTACAACGACATCATTTGATCGAAAAAATGTTTATTTGGTTGGAGATTTTGATTTTTGACTTTGAAGACTCTTTTAGAGATATTCTAAATATCCGAGAACATATCGAACTTTTGTACAAACTATGGCTCGATCCGATTGATATTTTGATCCGTAATCGTAAACGGAATCAAATAACCCGGTTCCAATTATTTAAGCTAATCTACGATATATTGAATTACTTCGATTTAACTGGTTTATTTGGCCAACTTATGTACATCTTAAATTAGTTTGACATTAACGTTAAGAAGGTATCCGATTTGCCCACCGTTAATTAAGGGGTGTCGGAAAAAACCGAAGCCGAATAATCGACTCGAACCGGATAAAGATTGGGTAAACGGTTATAATTCTTATTTGATTTTTGTATGATTCTAGTTAAAACCAAATAATTAATCATAATTTTATTTTTTATATTTATAAATAATTTTAAAAATTAAAAAAAATGCTAATTATATCCGGAGGTTTTTTCTCGATCCAAGTTTCGAGTCTATATTTTCGATATTAATTATTTGATTTTGTCACTGTGTTTTGATGTTTTTCTACGACTAACGTCTTTTATGTTATGTTTATTGTCGATTTGGTCTATGTGGCATTCAAATTGTCACGGCCATTAGTTCCTCTAACTAATATTGATGCCAGGGGTGTTTTGATGTTTTTACTTTTTTTGTCTTTTTCTTATTAAATAAATATAAAAATTGTAAAACCAAAAAATTCGAAGAATAAATAATTTTTGTTTTTGTTATTATTCTTTTTATTTTTGGATTATAATATATATATATATAATAAAGAAATAAATTAAAAGAATTTTAAAAATCGGACTAATAGTAAAGAAAAAACTCAAAATAAGGGTGAAAAAATGTAATTTTGGTAAAAACATTAAAGCCAGGGGTCCGAATGTAATTTTTTAATAGTTAAAAGGCTATGTAAGACTGTAAAAGATTAAGAGGTCCAAATCAGAAGGACTTGTTCTGTAAATATGTCAAATTCTGATTTTTTTTTAAAGGGATAGAACAATGTCGAGTTTTGAGGCCTCTTATTGGCTCTCTTAATCAACCAATAAGCCAAAAAAAAACAGAGATAAATAGACAACATTCTCCTCTACATTTTTCGTTCAAGAAGTTTGAGTTTTCACTGAGAATCGGGAGAGAAATTGAAGCTCGAAAGTCTCCATCCGAAATCTCCGTTTATCGACGATTAGAGGTAAAATATTCGACTAAAATTCATGTTCTTTATATGGTTAGCTTCGTTTTTTAGTTTTCTATCGAACCTTAGTAGCCTTATGTCTCAAATTTTAGTTTGGAGGTCCGATTCCGAGTTTGTAACAGATTTTGAGTTTGTAACAGATTTTCAAGTAGCTTTTGAGCTTAAAATTTAAATGAGAAGATGAGACTAAATACTTGATGTTTTTTTTTTTTTTGTTGATTTTTGTTTTCATGATTGAGTAAAATTATTTTCTAGAATTTTAGTAAAAAGAATCATCGAAAACGGTTGAAAAATGGGGCTAAACGGCATTTCAAAACCGCTTTCGACGAAGGTATTGTTGCTGCCGGTATGTACGCTGCTAGTTTGGGCTGGAGTTTTGACTGGGCCGAATATTTCTTGTTGGACCTACGAGACTGATGGGTCTTCAATATTAAAATAGAAATGGTTGAGTAGACCATAGACACGAGAAACAAAATTGGTTGGATTGTAATATATATATATATATATAATTACGTAAATTTTCTAAAGTTATTAGCATGTTAGGGGGTGTTTGGGATTGCTTATAAAAACAACTTATTGATTTATTCTGATGTGACACCGGTAATAAGCACTTTTGAGTGTTTTGATAAACAGCTTATATCAGTGTCAAATCGATAATAAAAAGTTTTTGAATAAGTTAAATCATTCTAACTTATAACATGTTATTTCGTATTAAAGTTTTATGATTAAATGGTGGACATTTGACCAGTAAGTCATTACCAGCATAAAACACGACCCAGATAAGTGGGTGATCAATTAAGACTGACAGATTAAGCCAGGGTGTGTTTGTGACTAAATGACTCATACCCGACTAAACATTTTATGAAATCTCTTCTTTTTAGCGTTCCAAATATATTTTTGTAAAAGTTGTGACTTATTATAGAGCATGCATATATGCTTGATATATATATGTCAAGATATGACTTTATTCACGCAAACCATGAACTTACTGAGTTTTATAAGCTGAATATATTATGCATTTCATGGCCATGTAGTTCGAGGTTGGATAAGGGCAAAGGATACGCTAAGAGAGTTGCTTATTATCATTTTATATTTAGTTTTTTATCTAGACATTCATGTTCGATCATTTGTAGCTTAACCTGGTATGAGACGAGTTAGAACTTAAGCTAATTTTTGGTTGATTCAAAGACTTCCGCTATAAACGGTTTTAATTTAGCTGTCATTTTTGGAATATTTATTTAGGAATTCATTTTAGATTACGTAATGTTTCTAATGAAAAAAAATGAGGACGCTACAAAAATAGTTACATTTTTAGGGTTCATTAAGGCGAATTCATATATGAACCTATGTGATTCGTGTGATTCACATATGAACTAATTAACCGATTCATATACGAACATGTGGGTTCATATATGAATCAGTTAAATAGTTTACATGTGAACTAATTAACGGGTTCACATATTACATATAGTTCATATGTGTATCACATGGGTTCACATATGTACTCGTTTGCAACATGTTTGTAAAAGTTACGAAACTTCTCTTCTATCTTCTGCAAATGTTGACCAGGTGAAGGGTTAGGATCACTTATCTACTTCTCAGATATTTTACCACTTCTCACATGAACCTTTCCATATATATATATATATATATATGTGTGTGTGTGTGTGTGTGTGTATACAAAGAGATAGTCGGATTCATGCGAGAACAATAACTAAATAAGAGAATAAGAAAACAGTCGAATAACATGTGATTTTAAACTGAAATCATGTGTAAAATCACATTTGATTGACACAACTTTGATAGTGACCTGAGGTTGTGGGCCACGTTGCCTGCACACCCTTACGTCTATGGTGAGTGTAAAATCACATGTGATTTTGCACGTGAGTTGTCTGTTTTCGTGTGTATATATATATTAAGAGAAAAAAAAAAGACAAAAATAGATGTATAAAAAGACTAAAATGTCATCTAACTTAATTGAGATAACAAAAACGGGAGACTTTGGCAAATTAAACACCACGTGGACTACTCATAATATACATCAAAAGCCAAATTCATAACTCAGTCTATTAATTAGGGTTGTAAACGAATCGAACGAACACGAATGAAAGCTTGTTCATGTTCGAACAAATGAACGAACACGAATGGTAAACGAACGAAAATCTTTGTATTCGTGTTCGTTTGTTTAGAAATCAAGTGTGTTCGTGTTTGTTTATGTCCGTTCGTTAACATGCTAAACGAACAAACATAAATGAACATAAATAAATATTATTTGAATTCAAAGTAAATAAATAAAAAGATTATATATTAAATTTAATATATAAACGAACGGTAAATGAACGAACGTTCACGAACATCAATGAACGAACGTTCACGAACATCAATGAACGAACAAGACTCTTATTCATGTTCGTTCGTTTAACTAAACGAACAAAACAAAATTGTTCATGTTCGTTCATTTATTAAATAAACGAACATAAACGAACTTTCCGCCGAACGGTTGACTGAACGTTCTGTTCGTTTACAGCCCTACTACTAATTATTTAGTTATAGATTATCTTCTAATTAAGAAACCTTATTATAATAATGTTTTAATTAGTTTAAACTAAAGGGGTGTTTAAGATTGTTTATTAAAACAACTTATTGACTTATTCCGGTATGACACCGGTAATAAGCACTTTTGAATGTTTGGACAAACAACTTATACCGATGCCAAACCGATAATAAAAAGTTTTTAAATAAATTAAACCCTTCTAACTTCTAATAAATTGATAAAAACTTTTATAAAAAAACCATAAATTATTTTAAATAAACAATTCCTGAAATTTGAATACAGCGAAACCCAAACATTTGAGTAAACAGACCAAATATGGAGATTGGAGGATGAAAACACAAATTAAACAACAAACTTTGAGAGGTATATATATAGAGAGATATATATACACTAGTTGTGTACCCGCGCAATGCGGCGGGAGTCGTGAATTTTAACGATTTTAAAGTTTCACTGATTTTATTATAGAATATTTAACGATGATATACACTTGGTYTTTACATATCAATACAATTTGAATAAATAAGAGTTATGGTTCCAATTACACTCTATTGATGAAAAAAAATTGTATGACAGTTTAAAATCCAACATATTTAAACGACTCCACAAATGTGTTCGATTTACACCAAGAGCAAAAAATCGAGAGATCGAGAGCGAGACCGAAAGTTCTAGAGCAACTAAATGGGAGATGAATGAGAAAATTTTTAATAACTCATGGTGAATATGAGTTTGAATCTCACTTTAGGGGATGAG